TGAGATAAAATTCACGTATAAAACTTACTATTTTAATTAAAATATCATTCAGTGGTAGTTTTAGTATACTCACAATCTTGTGCAACCATAACCACTACCTAATTCCAGAGCATTTTCATCCTCCCAAAAGAAACCCCATACCTCCCAATTACGTCCTCCCCTACATCCCCTAGCAACCCTAATCTTTCTGTCTCTGTGGATTTACCTATTCCGGATATTTTATTTAAATGGACTCATGCAATATGTGGTCTTTTGTATCTGGCTTCTTTCACTTAGCCTAATGTTTTCAGAATTCATCCATGTTGGAGCATGTGTCAGAATTTCATTGCTTTTGAAGGCTGAACAATATTCCTTTGCCTGGATGTGCCACATTTTGTTTATCTGTTCATCTACTCCTAAACAATTGTTTCCACTTTTTGGCTATTATCAACAGTACTGCTATGAACATTTATGTACAAGTTTTTGTTTGAATGCCTGTTTTTGGTTCTCTTAGGTAAATTCCCAGGAGCAGAATCTCTGGGTTTTATGGTAACTCCTTTTCATTTTTTGAATAGCTACCAAACCGTTTTCCAGATGTTTCCAAAAACCAGTTTTCATTCCCACCAGCAACGAATGAGGGTTCTGGTTTCTCCGTATCCTTGCCAACACTTGTTATTTTGATTTTTTTTTTTTTTTTTTTTTGAGAACCAGTATTTATTTGGGGGAATGGAGCAGGGACAGAGAGGTAGAGGTGTGGGAAAGGCAATGAACTGATCGACATGGCCTAGACTACATGCCCCACCAAGTTCCCAAGAAGATTGTGGATGCCCAAGCCAAATATCAAGGGTTGCTGGGAAGGGGAAAAGGAGGAGGGCAAGGAGGCTGGGGGTGCATAAATCATACATATTCACTACATTTCTCTCAGGGGCAGCACAATATCATTTGGACATTTTTGGAGTGCGAGGTAGAGATGCTGAAACCTGCCTTCCTTACTATGCTCTGTACCCCCTCGCAAGAGATAGAGGCTGTGCTAGTGTCTTCCTGTCGTCTTTTCTTCACTCCCAACGTCAGACTTTAATTAAATCCATTAGTCTTTAGTTAAAATTAGCCTTACCTTTTTTTTTTCCCCCAAGCCCGACGGAATGTTAGAAAGCCTATCTTTTATAATGCCAGTTGTTGGCAATGGATGGTTTCATAATATTTATTCTTAGTCTATTCCTGGATGTCTTGAAAATATTTCACCTGAGTTATTGAATTGCTTTTTTAAAACATTAATATTAAAAACTAAGTTTAATCTGCATTTTCAGACTGCAAGAAGATGTTAAAAACTTTAAGCAACCATCACAGTAATGGATCTCTGTCAGAAAAATGAGATTGATATAGAAAATAGTGAAAATAATGAAATTCAAAGCACAGAAGAAACCGAACTTACCTGTACTTGTCCAGATGAAAGAAGCGAAAAGAATCATGTTTATTGTCTTCTCAATATCAGCGACATTACACTTGAACAAGATGAAAAAGCCACCGAGTTTAGCATCGGGACTGGATGGGAAGAAGCGGTGAGTATCTTCTTGAGTTAGCTCTCTTGCACATCAACATTTTGATGCAAAACTTTTTTTTTTTTTCCAAAAACAGTTGAGATTACCAAAATATGTAGCATCAATGAAATACAGAAACTCTTAGAACACAGGTAAAATGTTATCGATGATCATAGCAGTACCTGTTATTAGGTATTTTTGGCCACTTAGTATGTGGACAGTGTAGTACTAAATGCTTTGCGTACATTAATTCATTCAACCTCTGCATAGCCCTCAGAGGCAGGTGTATTAACAGCCTCACTTTTTGGATAAGGATACTGAGTCACCAAAAGATGAAGTAACATGCCCACGATCACCCAGCCAGTAAGTGGCCAAGGCAGGGCTTGAGTCTGGGTCTTCTGAACTGCGGAACCTGAGCTCCTTAATGGCTATGCCGAACCCCCTGGGAGAACTGGGGTTTCTGCCATGGTGGTTCTACTCAGAACTCTGTGGGCTTATTCTTAAACTGTTCTTAGAATCAATAATAGAATCCTAAATTTAAAGCTATAAGAAAACTTGGTCTTTCTGGTGATTAAACAGGATTGCCATATTAAGCAAATGAAAACATAGGACATGCAGTAAATTGAATTTCAGATAAACAATACCTAACTTATTTAGTATAAGTGTGTCACAAATATGGTCCTATATTTTTATCTGGTCACCCTATTTTAATGGTGACCTGTGGCAATGTCAGCCAGGGGACTCTGGGCATGGATGGGGCAGGGTATGCCTTGGGCACGCAAGACTCCTCTGCACCCCAGGACCTGCCTCTGCTCATTGCTTTCCCTCCAGCACGTAAAAGCAACAGTCTTCTCCAGGTATGGCAAACAGAGACTGGTGGTACAAGAAATCCTTTTAGGTGGGACAAGTATGAACAGCTTTGATTTTATTTTATGCTTCTGATTTTAATGTACAACTGAAAAGAAATATAATTAACACATCAGAGGGATAATTTACAAATACTATTGCTTAGTATTTTAATATTAACAAATACTGTTGCTAAAGTATTTAGGATTAACAAATACTATTACTTAGTATGAGGCTAAAGTAGGTATTAAAAGTTTTTTTTTTTGGCTGGGTGCAGTGGCTCATGCCTGTAATTCTAGCACTTTCGGAGGCCAAGGCGGGAGGATTGCTTGAGGCCAGGAGTTCAAGACCAGCCTGGGTAACATAGTGAGACTGTGTCTCTACAAAAAAATTTAAAAAATTAGCCGGGCATGATGACATGTGCCTGTAGTCCCGGCTACTCGGGAAGCTGAGACAGGAGGATTGCTTAAGCCCAGGAGTTGGAGTTGCAATGAGCTATGATCGAGTTACTATACTCTAGCCCAGGTGACAGAGCAAGACCAATATTTTTATTTTTATTATTTATTAATATTTTTATTATTAAAAATAAATAAAAGGTTTTTAAATTTTTAAGTGAGTCAATTTTAAGAAAAATATCGGTTCACATAAGACTGCCAAAATGGGAATGTGGCCAAAACTGGGGCAACTAGAGTTTGGGCACCTTGGCTAGAAAGTAACACGTTCTTTATTTGCAGGTCCAAGGCTGGGGAAGGACTTCTTCAACTGCCTGCATCTGGCCAAGGAAGAAACTAAAAAAGGCGAGGGTAGGAGAAAGCGCCAGCAGTGGCTGCTTAGTCTGTGTGAATCTCTCCCAAGGGAGCCTTGAGGCCAGGCCTCCTACAGAGGCTGGGACATTAGAGGCTGGGGCTGACACAGAGGCCGGCCTGGAGAAGGATCGGAACAGCCTCTCCCAGACCCAGGGGTCCCCCCAGGGCTCCAATACTGCTTCCAGGGAGATTAGTAAAATCTGCTTTCCCACCTACATTCCTAGAGAGAGAAAAAGTGTGCAAATCAAGGAGTTTATTTTGTGCACACAAGACTGGGCCGTCCCTGAGGCCATTAGGGGCAAGGCCCCCAGGAGTCCTGGGGGTGGCACTGACAGAGGGCTCTCCATCTCAGACGTCCTGACCACCAAGGCCCTCTTAGTTCTTCCCCCGCTGAAACCTTCACTCCCCAGTGGCTTGGATGTTCTGGGTAAGAAGAGTAAGAACTTTTTCTTGCAGTCAGAAGAGAAGGTGCAGTCAGGAGAGAGTGTGGAAAAGGATGAGTGTGTGGCTTGTGCATATAGATTGAAAACAGTTGACCAGAAAGGTGAAAAGAGACCTGTTGAGCTGGCCAAGCACCTTAAGGTCAACAACACGCTGCCCTTCCCTTCCCCAGTGGCCCGGACATGCCTGCCTGCCCATCCCCAGCAGTGCCTGCCCTGTTCCCTCCTGCCTGAGAAAAACCTGGCGTTCCCTCCCAACCCCAGCAATGTGCGCTGTCTCACCACCTTGCAGCTTTTGCAGAAACAGGGAACACAAAACTGCAAAGTCAAATTCAAAGCCAAGGAGCCGAGACCTCCTGTGAACACCCAAAAGCACGTTCTCACAGAGGCCAAGCAGGAAAACGGGCCCCAAACACTGGACACCAAAGTGTTCCCAAGCCCAAGACCTCTTTTGCCGTCCCTCACAGTGAGCAGAGTCGTCGTTCCCATCGCCACCCAGAGGCTCCTCTGAGTCGTCACAATAGAATTTCCTGGGAGTGAGCACTGCTTGAAATTCTGAGATTCATTCATCCTTTCTCATTCTCCTCTCTCCTGCTACCTCCCGCATTCTCTCTCTCTGTCCTCCCCCCTCGCTCCTTCACTTTCTCTTTCCTCTTCTTCTCTTCTTCTTTCCTCTCCCACTTTCTCCCTTTTTTTTTGTACTAGAACCAGAGGAAATTGAAGCTCATTGGATGGGTTTTGACTTTTTCTCTGCAACACCATATTCATGGGCTTCTGCTGCTTAACCATTCACAAAAGGCAAGCTGGCCACGCCCGCCCAGGCTCTGTCTGCCTTACCTCCACTCCAAGTGGAAGCCGCAGGAAAGGTGGGGAATCCCAAGGGCCTCGCTCTGCGCTGCCCCCATGCCAGCCCAGAGCTGTCTGGCAGGGGCTGCTTCTGCCCACCCCACTGCCTTAAGCTAAGCACACTGGGCTGGTTTGGACCCAATTACTTCCTGATCTTTTGAAGCAGGCAGATGTCTGTCTGCTGCCTCATTTTCTTTTGCAACAAAGATCTGAAGCATCACTTTAATAGAAAACCCCAGCCTGTGTCCAAGTGAATATCCTTGTGTCCAAATGTCCACGGTATCATGTATCCCGGGTATCCAGGGTGCCTCCTATTGTTTCCATGGATACACACTGTCCATCATCTCCTGTGTGTCCAGGATGTGATGTCCTCGTATTGCAGCCTCACGCCAATCTCTATGTCTGGAAGTTTTAGCCAAAAATCCAGCCTGGGAAGCAGGTTAAGATTAATTAATTTTTTGGGGAAAATAGTCACAGTGATTATCATTATCCCACATGCTTCCTCTGGTCTTACCTTGCATCTCATATTTGGAACCCTCAAGCCCAGACATTTATGGAATGGGGCTGTTCCTTTCTCCCTTCTCTCCTCCCTCTGCCTCTTACATTACCCCAATGCGTATTCCTGAAGTTGTATCCAAATTAAACAACGTTTGTAAATGAGTTGTATTTTAACTACCAGTGATGTTGCTATGTAGACAGATGGTCTGACAAACCATTTTGTGATACGAGTAATCATTAAGCTGCTTTGTAATTGCATAGTTTAAATTTGCTTAAGGTAGGTTGTACTTGAACTCTGGACTTTCCATCCCCTAAATGATGGAGGGGACAGAATATATGACTGTATTTGTAAACATACTTCCCATAATTGGTCTTCATAATGCCTTGTCTGTTAGCCTAGGTTTCTTTGCTTTTAAGAAACACCAGAATGTTGGAATGGTTATAATTCAACAGTCATTAGAAGGTATGTTTGCCTACTGAGGTTGGACACTTACAATCTAGAAGCAATTTTTAATGTTTTTTCCCCTTCTCCCCTGAAAAAAGAAACCATCTGGATTCTGTCCTAAAGAGGAGGCCTGATTTCCCACTGTTTCTGGACAGTGGGGTGTTGGACCTGGTACTGTTTGAGGACCTTCCGGTTCTGGTGGGCTGCCCATCTAGTCAGTGGTTTTTCAAGCTCCCTTTTTAAAGCAGCAGAATAATTAAGCTCGGTGTGTCATCAGTCTGAAGTGTGTGTTTGGAGGACAGTGCCCACCTACCAAGGGAGGGACCAGGCCCACCGACTCAGCCCAAGGTACTTACTACCTTCTGAGAGCTTGAGGCAGTTTGAAAACACTAGTCCAAGTTGCAATGGAATTTTTTTTTTAAAAGAAAAAGTCTTTTGTTCAGATAAGTATAAATTCTATAGACTTTGGTATTAATGTATTAATAATTTAGAATTAAGAGGAGGGCCAGTCTGAACAAAGGTAGGGACCAAATTTGCTACAGATTCGTGGTATCCTTTTTGAGCAAATAATTGGCCAACAAAATATTGACTAAATATTCCTTCGTGAACAGATTAAGAATGTTCTGCCTTTGGCATCTCTTTGCTTTAGCAGTTATTCAGGTACCTGACAAAGTCCCTCTGGTATCTATTTGCATTAGCCCAGGTTTCGTCCGTTCCTCTGTGGATAAAATCACTGTCTCAGTTTTGTTCAGATTAGCTCAGGACATGCAAGCTGGTTCTTTGCTGTCCAAGTCTAGATAAAGGTTAAATGTTTAATAGGATGCAGTTTCCCACTGGGATTCTGAGTCTCTAACAACACGTGTAGGGTGAATCCTGCGTTTTAATACTTAAGCGCGTTGTGATGTTGGTGCTAACAGCCTTTCCTACCTCACGGTGATGGTCTCAGGTAGGTTTTGGTTTCTTTCTCCAAACCAAGCACAGAGAGTTCTGCGTTTCATTCCTCATTCTATTATATTTGGGGATCTCATCAGTAAAACTTTCCAAGCTCCTGTTTTCCTGAAATCTTAAAAACCAAGTGGAGTTCTGGCAGCATCCAACACAGGGTTCCTGCAGGGCCTGAGGTCACCTAGTGGGTGAGGCCGGGGCTGAAGCCCAGATGAGGTGAGGCAGGGACAGAGGGATGGGAACCCCTCACCCCCAGCAGACAGAATGCGAACCTTACAGAGAGATGAGGGGTGTCACCTTTGAAGGGCATCGGGAAGATTTTAAATCAGAATAAGGCCTGGCCGGACAAATACTCTGAAAGACTTTCCCTGATTTTTAGTTCTATCCTTTTTATTCTGTGCTTTGCCCCCTATTGGGGAATTTACTTGCACTTCAAAGACTGTGCTACACAATGATTCGAACTCAGAATCACATTTGCTTCCGGTCTCTCCCTCTGAGCTCAGGAGCTTTATGACCCCCAGAGACCACAGAAGCCCTGGCTCATCTCAGCTAGATGACAGCACCGAAGTTGCATTGCTCAGCTGCAGGCCTCGCATCTAGGGCTTTTCGGGGTGTCTGGGCTTGGGTCCAGTGCAACTTTGGTGCTGTCATTTAGGGGTTACTCATAAGCAAGCCAGGGAAGAAAGAAACAGAGGAGCTTCTTGACTGATGGAAGATGAGGGCCGTCCCTGGTACCACAGAGAACACTCTTCTGCTGCCTGCCAGGCAGACTGGGACTGCTGGCGCCAGGAGGGAATTCAATGGCATGCTCGTAATTACTAAGCGAAACTCATCCCTGGTCCTAGTAACCAGTAAAGTTATACAGTCATCCACTTGAATTTACAAGGCATCATTCTTTCTAGGAATTCAAAGCCTCTAGCCAGGCATGGTGATAGCACCTTGTAGTCCCAGCTACCCAGGAGGCTGATCCAGGAGGATTGCTTGAGTCCATGAGTTCGAGGTTACAGTGAGCGATGATTGCACCACTGCACTCCAGCCTGGGCAACAGAGCCAGACCCTGTCTCAAAAAACAAAAAACAAAAAAACAAAGCTTCTTCCCTTCCCAGGCATTATCTCTTTTTATCCTGAGCATATGAATGAGAATCAGGGATCATTTTCCTCCTTTGACCCAAGGAGGAATCGATCAGCAGAGGGTTGAGTTCAGTCAGGCCAGCGTCAGGGTCTGCGGCCTGGACACCTGGAGGCTCAAGTATATTTCACAGGTGGGGACATTGGGGGTACTGGATGGAAAATACATGTAAGGCAGGAAGGAGGGCTCAAGAATGTCATTTCTTCCTGTAAAATGGGAACAGCTTTCAGACACAGGATGTGCTGAAGATGATCAGGTAATGTATGTTTAACTCCAACAGAGATTTGTGTTTTTCCTGAACGTATTGATCAGATCAAATACAAAAAGCTGGGTAATTTCCCTCTAATGAATGACTTGTTTAAAAATCATACAGGAGTCATGTGGACGTGTTGGGGTGTCATTTGGACATTTGATGGGTCGCTACTTACCTTGGCAACTACAGCTCCTTGCTTGGGTTCCTGTCAATCCATCGTAATTCTCCAGCCTTTTTCGTCTTGTTTTGTCTGCATTTCTACTACACAAACAGCACTGCTCTGCCCATCCATACTATGGCTCCTGTACTGATTTTGTGTTATCCTGAGGCGTTCTAGGACAAAATCTACTTTTCCAGTTCAGTCTCCCAGATCAAAGCTACCGTGTAGTTTCTTGAACACAGTCGTAGGTTAAATCCAGTATCCACTGCAGTAAGTAAAAATAGAACCATCTCCCTCTTTTCTTTGTTAGCAAAACTACTGAGAAAGAAGAATTAGTTTAAGAGAATTGATTTCCACCAGCAGTTTGCAAACTGGGAGACAGCTTTTGGTACAAAACGAAGGTGCGCTCTGAGAGAACAAAGAAAGGGGCTATTTTTACAGACAAAGTCTTTGCCCAGGTTCCCACTCTGGTCCCCTTATGCAAATCAGGGATACAAACTGGTCTAGTTCTGATTGGTCAATGCTTGGTTATTGGTTCGTCTGTTGGTTAGGTCCACAAGGCAAAATGGGATTTTCCAGCAGCCATTGATTCAGGTGGTGTGAACAGGAACAGAGGTATCAATGTCCCAAAGTTAGGCGAGCTTGTGGGTTTTTTGGGCAAGCAGAGTACGTGTGTGACCTCTAGTCGGCAAATGGCCACTTGGCTCTCTGTTGAATACAGGCCCGGTCAGACACTCAGGATGCATCTCGAAGGACTGGCTCTTTCAGGTTCACACCTAGGAGCTGAGAACCATTAGGAGTTTTGGGTTTTTTTATACCCCAGTTTTGCCACTGGGCATTGCTGCCTTTGCCCTAAAAATAAGGGAATTAATACCTAAAGTCCTTCCTGACTCTGTCGTTTTAGCACGGTTAATTTGCCTGCATTCATTAGAAACTCAAAATGGTGAACAGTTCTTTCTCTCCCCAGTTTCAATCAGACTTGCTCTGGATCCTGGCCTTCCTAGGGTGAAATTTAAAAAAAAGCAAAAACTTAAATGAATTTCAATTTATGCATTGCAAAAGTTGCTGACGGTAGAAACTATAATAGAAGTTTTTTTAAAAATTTACATAAGGCTATGAGGACTCAACCTCTACTAACTTATACTTTCTAAACAACATAACTTCTTAGAGGGTTGAATGGCCTGGCTCGATATTGCATTTACAGCAATGCTGGAAGTTCCATCCCAGCAACGAGC